AATATTTATGTGCAATGGATGCTATTCACACACATACGTATAATCTATTCATTCTTATTTCAATATAATGTTTTTCCCCAGTTCTTAAATTTAAAGTTGTTATCAACGACTTTCACACTTTAAAGGCCTTTTGTTGGTAAATGATGTGAATATTATGATGCCGCAGCCGAAAACAACAACAACAACATGAACAAAGTGACCAACATTTTGAAAGGACAGCATGGACATTACAAATCTGCAGGAATGTAGAGAAAACAGAAAATATTTTTTTCTTAAAGTTTCTTTCTTCGATATGGGCACAACTTTTGCCTTCGGCTATTTGTTGTCATTGATAACAGAAAAAGTATTGGGATTTGTGTAAGGTAATAAACTATTTATGGATTTTTTTCAAGAATATTTTATTGAAGGGCCCAAATAATTTGGATTATGAAAAAATGTTCACCGTACCAATTCAAAATAAAAAAAGGATTTCTACAGGAAGGATTTAAAAAATATATATTTTTTGGACCAAAAAAAAAAAAAATCTGGAGACCCTGGAGTTTTATTTTGTACAATTCAATTTTAAGAACGTTGAACATAGTGAATTCCCGAAAATGCTAAAAGCTAGGGGATAAAGAGGACTGATATTGAAAATTTAGTGGAGAGATTTGAAAACCATTATATCGAGGCTATACCCAAAACATGGCCGATATATGCCATCATACCCTTCTCCATAAAGTGTTTGTCTTTCCGTATGCAACACCTCGGAATAGTCATCGAAGACCCCACACAGTGTATAAATTCAGGATCAGAATACAATTCTATGTCAATTTATGCATGTCCGTCTGTCAGTTGAAATCACGATAGAGTTTGAAATTCGAGTTTCCCAATTGACTTGACTGTAATTTGGTACGTTGAATTCCCATTGAGTATATAAGGTTAGGTTAAGGGATGTACGGCTACCGATTAAATCCATTAACTCAGAGACATTTGTCCATTGTGCTCATCCTTGATATCTGAAAAGAAAAGGAGTAACGGACAGTGGAAAAGAGGAAAGATAGAAAACTGGTTATTTTAGCCATGTCAAAGTCTTAACAAAGCATACGATCAGCTTGGAGTATATTCCGAAGCAGAATGCTAGATTATCAATTTCATATTTGCTGAACTGATTGTGTCTTCTGTCACTTAGCGATGGACACCTAAGGAGTATATGTACAATTGTTTCTAGTTCTACCTCATCCTCAAATAGACGGCAATAATTCACTCTGTTAATGTCCCATTTGGAAGTGAGAGATCTAATCCTGCAGTCACCGGTTACGAATCCCACAACGATTTTAATCTGCCTCTTACTATGAGACAACAGCGAAAATGTTCTACGGCGAGAGAATTGGGGCCAGATGGTTTTTGAAAACCTGTATCCAGGTTCTGTTGACCATATGTTTCCGACTACCTTGCACTAGCTCAAATGGATTTTGCCAATAAAGTAGGCAATGAGAGGTTGTGCAGATCCCTCAATCGGTAGATTGAATGACTGTGAACCCCCTCGAACAAGCTCATCGTCTATCCCTTCTAAGTAGCTATGTCCTGTAACCCAACATAATTTAACCATCCGTCGTATATCATGAAGATCATCCTTGCAATCACGAACCGTATGTAAATATCGACAGACCGCTAGTGGTAAAGAGCCACTTTCCCAGGATTCTCTACAAGGAATCCCATTTCGTAGCAAATCTCCCTACCAAAACTGTTCGATATGGGTTCACCTCCTTGTTTGTTTTGTAATTTGTTATTTTGAGTGAGTTTTCATTGGGTGACACATCTTACAACCAAAAATTATCAATATTGGTCTACGTTTTATAATAGTATCCATACGACGGTACCTCCCAAATTTCGATATTTTGGCGGGGAGTTTGGGCACGTTTTTCAATCGGATGGAATCCAATTTGCAATTTGAAATTCACATTGGATGCCAAAACTTCCTTCCAAAATGGACCCAAATTTCGGTATTTTCTGAAGTATGGGCATATTTGTTAACCAAATTGACAGTAATTTGGTATTTTAAATTCACATTAAATAGTAAATCGTCCTACTACAAATTAAAAATATTGGTCTACTTTTTACAATAGCCTCCATCATATAAACCTACTGGTTATTATTCCGTATTTTGAGGATTATGAACCCGTTTTTTACCCCAATTGGCAGTAATTTCGTTCTCTCCTATAAAAAATGGCACATCCTGTGCTATATATAACCAATAAGGAAAGTAGCAAAGTCGGGCTGGGCCGACTATATGATACCCTTCACCACTTCCTTCGAGGGTAATTGAAAATATGTCACCTTTATATATAAGTGGACCGACTAACCCCAATCCATACATATGCCTTTCTGCAAGCTATACTAAATTTCACTTCTTTCGGACCGATTACTTTATATTTACTTCAGTACATTGTACAAAATTATGACAAACCTTGGGTCTTTAGTGCACAATTTATATATTGGAGCTATATCTAAATCTGAACCGATTTTTACGAAACTTAACACATATCATTTAAGAATTAATTCAGTACGCTGTACCAAATTTTGTCCAAATCTAACGATTTATAATGACTTTGATACACCATTAATATTAAATCGGGCGAAAATATATATGCGATCTATATATTTTCGGAACCGATTTTCACGAAACTTTACACACATCATACTAGACTCAATTCAGTAGGCTATGCTAAATTTCATCCAAATCGAAAGATATATAGGGACTTTGATGAACCAGTTACATTAAATCGGACGAAAATATATATGGGAGCTATACCTAAATCTGAACCGATTTTCACGAAACTTAACACACATCATTCTAGACCTAATTCAGTACGCTGTGCCATATTTCGTGCAAATCGAAAGATATATAGGGACTTTGGTACACCATTTACATTAAATCGGACGAACATATATATTGGAACTATATGTAAATCTGGACTGATTTTCAGGAAACTTAACACACATCATTCTATATCTAATTCAGCACGCGATGCCAAAATATATGAAAGGACTTTGGTACATCATTAACATTAAATCGGACGAAAATATATAAGGGAGCTATATCTAAATCTGAACCGATTTTCAGGAAACTTAACACACATCATTCTAGACCTAATTCATTACAAGGTGCCAAATTTCGTGCAAACCGAAAGATATTTTGGAACTTTGGTACAACATTCACCTTAAGTCGAACGAAAATTTATATGGGAGCTATATCCAAATCTGAACCGATTTTCAAGAAACCTACCACAGATCATTCTAGACCTAATTCTTTACGCTGTGCCAAATTTCGTGAAGATCGAAAGATATATAGGGACTTTGGTGCACCATTTACATAAAATCGGTCGAAAATATATATGGGAGCTATATCCAAATCTGAACCGATTTTTCCCAATTTCAATAGGGTTTGTCCTTGGGTCAAATAAGTGACCTATGCCAAATTTCACCCAAATCGGATCATAAATGCGACCTGTACTTTGTTCACAAAAATACATGGAGGGACGGACATGCGTAAATCGACTCAGAAAGTGATTCTATGCATATTCTCAAAAGGAACCATGTGTCTATCTCGTTTCCTTTAGCCTGTTTCAAACATATGCACAAAGACATAATACCCTGTACCACAGTGTGGTGAAGGGTATAAATACCATAAGTTTCCATACAATCCAGCTGCGACAATAAACTCTAATGGAGTCGGTTATCGATCGGCTGAGATCAGATTGATCAACAAATGTCATCGTATAACCAAGGCTTTAAGTTATCCTTATGATGGAGTGTAAACAAAGTTTGCTCCCACTTATGTATTTATATCAAATGTTCGAAACTTTGTGCCCGCAACTTCGTAAAAAGGTTGTTTTTTTCCTCCACCATGATGTGGGAATTCAACATACCTACAATCTCTAACTACTCTCTCATTTACTTAAATTTGGAATTTTCGGCAAGGACCTTTAAGGTACCGAAAATAAGCAATTTTTACGGGTGTCATCTAACAATTATTTGACAGATATCCATTATCCATATTATTACTTATAATCATAATCAAATGCAATTACAAAGTGTATATGGACATTGGATGGAGAAACAGAGACATACCCCCACAGATGTCACAGATATCCCTCTCCGTATACGACTAGGGCTAGTTAATTAACATTTAATGTATTAACAGATTTAAGTATTTATTCATATGGATAGGGATAACTAAATGGAATATTGTTTATTTGAAAGTACTTGGTTGGTAACTAAAGGGGTAAATAAATACAATTGGTAAGTAACCAATTCGAAAAAAATACTACTAAACAACTACCAAAGACTAGGGGGGATCAACAAGGAGGAAGCAATAACTACTTTTACCTTCAATTAATTGTATAAAATAATTTCCATTTCTTGCTACCATTATTTGTTTGATTCCTATCTTCCCACATGATAATTTGACCAAAACACCATTTTCATTTGAATTCCTTATGCATCCTTCTCAAAATATTCCAATTTTCTAGTATTCTTGCTTGTCCTAAAAAAACAATTTTTATAAAGTTTTTATTAAACACTTTTTTTATATATAAAAATACAAGTTTGTTTTTCTTTTTTTCAACTATGTTTCAATTAATAAAATTACATACATATATAAAAACACAGAGAACATTATTAACATTTAAAATTTTTTTTCAAAAAAATAATTGCATAGTACCCTAGTAAAAAAATAATTATGAAAAAATGTGCGTAGCAATACCATATTTAATAGGGCCATAATTAAATTGTTCCATATCAGCAGAAAGAAAAACAATTCAATAATTGTGTATTAGCCTGGAAAATATCATTGGAATTGGAGTCCCGTAAGACTTGGAATTTTTTTGTTTTGTTGCGAAAATAGAATGGATAATGGCGATGACAACGTTTTATGTTCACAGTGGCATAGAAGTCTTTTTGTTGTTGTATATTAGTATTAATCAGTTGCACAGCGTTTTGTTGTTTTTTATGGTTTTTAAATTTATATGCGACTTCTGGATGAGTTATCCTTAACATTAAATAATTTACGAACAAAGAAGACCTAAAAGAAATAAAAAGTGTTGAAATTATTTCGGAAATGTTCATGAGTATATTAAATGTACTTACCTGGACGGAACATGTTATAACAATAACCAAAATTTGACATATCGAAAAAGTTTGTACATAACTATAATTGTCTTGGATTAAGGCATAATCACGAGCTTCACGATTTCTGCTGTGATATTGATAGGCCAACATATCATTAATGTTTCTCTCCACTGTGCCAATTGTGGTCTACAAAATGAAAATAACAATATTAAATATATGTAAATAAATGAAGACAAGAGAAAGAAAATAAAGAAGTGGGTCTTAAATAGAGAGTTCCTTAAACGAATTTTTCATGTATAAAATTATGAAAAGAAATATTTTCTAAAGAAAGAGTTATCGTCGGCTAAAGGAAGACTCAGACGATCTGAAAAACTTTCAGAAGGGAATCGAGCTGAAAAAAGTATATTACGAGCTGAAGAGAGTCTATAAATCAGCTGCAGCGATACTCTATAGCAGATTTGAACGGAGACTTTATAGATCGGGAATTTTTTATAGACTGGCTGATGCGAGTCTCTATAGATGAGCTAAAGGTATTCTCAATATTCTTTATAGGCCTGCTGTAGGTAGTATATATAGACGAGCTGAAGGGAGTCTTTATAGACGAGCTGAAGGGAGTCTTTATAGACGAGCTGAAGGGAGTCTTTATAGACGAGCTGAAGGGAGTCTTTAGAGACGAGCTGAAGGGAGTCTTTAGAGACGAGCTGAAGGGAGTCTTTAGAGACGAGCTGAAGGGAGTCTTTATAGACGAGCTGAAGGAAGTCTTTATATACGACCTGAAGGAAGTCTTTATAGACGAGCTGAAGGGAGTATTTATAGACGAGCTAAAGAGAGTCTTTATAGACGAGCTGAAGGGAGTTTTATGGATGAGCTGAAGTGACTCTCTTTAGGCGGATTGAAGGGAGTCTCTATAGACGGATGAAGTGAGTATCTATAGACGGGCTGAAGGGAGTATCTATAGAGTGAAGGGAGTCACTGTAGACGGACTGAAGAGAGTCTCTATAGACGAACTGAAGGGAGTCACTATATACGAACTGAAGGCATTCTTTCAGAATCGGTATGAAGTCTTCATAGGCCAACTAAGGCTATCCGAAGGCCGTATCCTTAAACGAGCCGAAGGAGCTACTTGTGGACAAGTTCAAGGAAATCTTTCAAAGGCAAACTCTACAGTCCATTTTAAGTCAGCCCCTATGAAAGAGCGGAAGAGAAGGTTTATAGATGATGGTTTATAGTCTTTCTTGACTTGAGCATCTCTAAAAGAGACCGACACCGCCCATAATTTTTGAGGCCCATATAACAGGAAGTGCTACTTTAAAACCATCCGGTACCGGGCTTTAAACATAGCTAAAGCTAAACGTACTATTATCATACTGGAGAAATGCGATTTTTTATAAGGAAAGAAGTTCGGATTGTCTCATAGACGATTTGAAGAAAATCCCATCTATATACAGGAGTCAATTGTCTCTATCGATTAAATGAGGGAGACTGTTACCAAATTCTAGTTACAAAATGTCTAAGGGAATAATTTCTAGGTGGACAAAAGGGATCCTCTTGGAAGACATGGATTTGGTAATATCAATGTCCTATGAAATATTTTTTTAATTCCAAATAAAACCAGAACAAAACTTACAGTGAAATTTTCCATATTAAGTTGCAGCGCTTCAATTTCCTTAGCATATTTATCCCAGGCATCATATTTCACTACCGTAATATAAATATTGACCAACTTGCCGGCAAAACGGGAGAATTGATTGTCAATGCAGACGGAATAATAACCACCAGGTGATACTTGATCCGTATAATCAGCCGTAGCTTGCCATTGATAGGGTTTTACAATGGTGCCAGCTGGATTGCGTACAGCAAAACCGGCCATTCCATCGCCACCACGTACCACCTACACAAAAAATAGAAATTACAACAATTAATTTAAATATTTCCCAAAAAAATAATGAAAAACATTTTCACTTACACTAAACGAAACATAGAAAGTAGCTCCCGGCTGGACATATTGATGATAGCAGTCTTCTTTTCCGGCATCTATGTGGACCTGTTGCGTATGACAAAAAAAAACGACGTGTTATTACAATGGCCATTCACTTTCGAATTCATTGGCGGTGTGGGATTTTTTGTTCACAACTTACCTTATAATCCATTGCCACAGCTGGTAGATTTTCATACCATGGCTTAGGCACTTCTTGGGAAACAATTTGGGTTGAGGCAACATTCAGGAGTAGCACAAATATGGTGGAAAAGGCTCCTATTTGCCACGTCGTCGAGGAATGCATTTTGTTTGGATTAGAGATAAATAATACAAAAAACAGTAGCAACAACAACAACAGCACAGTATGTAAGTTGGACAACTAATCGAAGATAATCGATTAATCGATTTCACTCTTGTCTTGTCTGTGACATAGAATAGTGATGTCAACGGGTCGTGTAAAAGAAAAGCGCTGAAATGACAATTTGTGTAGTTGTTTGTGGTATTTCCTCGGGGAAATATTAATAAAAATGTAGGTATGATGTCACTGAGTAGATATTTGAAATACGTCTAGAAAAACTATTTATTTTTTGAATATTTTAAGTTAACAAATATTGTATTTTCTAAATAAATATGTTTGCATTTAAATATACAATGAATAACATCATTGCAATTTATCGTATGCCACAACCTTTTCTCTGGGAAGGGAGCCAAAGTCTTTACTCACACACTCTCTCTCTCTCTCGCCAAACACATCACCTGTTGGCTCCCCATATCACAACAAGGCACGCACTTGACAATTGGCAAAGTTAGTTTAACAGTCGGTTTTAATGCGTGCGGTCGTCCATTTACAAAGAACAATAAACATGATCTATTTTGCATGAAATAAAATATGAAGTGAAAGTGTTTAGTTAATATATTTTGAAAAGAAAATACTCCCAAAAAATGCAAGAAATCATTGCAAACAGATTGTATTTTTGCAAAGTGTCTGTGGTTGCAGTGTTTTCGTAATGGCGTCAATTTATGGCTGACAGCTTGTTAAACAGAGAAAGCCCAAGAGAGCACAATATTATTCTCTGCTATATCTCTCTCTGTTACTGTGTATGCAATCTAATAAGAAAAGAGTGGTTAATGATCAAATTCAGTGTTTTGTTAAATAATATAACGAAAGAAATAGGTTCTAATATAAACAAATTTAAATTAAATATAAAAGAATTAAATGAAAAAGAGTAATCAGTGTTTATTTAAAATAATTAAAAATTAAATTGAATGTGTGGAAATAAAGAATAGTGGACAAAAATTACAGTATTTTGTTAAGTGCTTACAATAAAATTAAATGAAATTAAATTAAAAGAACAAAGTAAGGAAATGTAATTATAGACTGATTGAGTTTTAAGTGATGTTAAGGAATGCTGTTAAGGAATATGTTTATATACTATATAGATTGGTAAGACAATTTACAATTTACTTATTTATCAAGAAGATGTATTAAAAGAAATGTGTCATTTGTTGATATATATTATACTAAAAATAATCTTCTTGCTGGCAGTTGAAAAAATATTCATCAAAAAAGAAGTAAAAAAGTGTCAGTCGGTGTTGCCAGCAGACATATACCCTTAGCCTATGGTTTGCGGAGGACCTTGGAGTTACAGAGGTTTAATTGTTCGGTTTATAAAGCAGGACCCTTCTTCGGACTTAGTCTAGGCTTGGTAAAGATAATAGGTTGTACAAAGTTTGGTTCAAATCGGACATTCCATTCACCTGATAGTATATTTTTAATATTGAAAATATTGACCCTCTGTGGGGAAGGTACCTGAAGGAGTGGATCAATGTATCCCATCTTCGGACATTATCCAGGCTTGGTAAATATAATGAGTTGTGCAAGTTTTGGTTCAAATCAGTTATTCCATTCTCCTGATATTGAATTTATAAATATTGACCCTTTGTGGGAAGGTATCAGAAGGAGTGGACCATTGGGTACCATTTTCAGAATAGATCTAGACATGATAAAGACAATATGTTCTGCAAAGTTGGGTGCAAATCGAATATTCCTTTCGCCTGATATTGGATTTATAAATATTGAAATGAAGTGGGCCAATAGGTTTCATCTTCGGACTTGATCTAGGCTTGGTAAAAATAATATGTTATACTTTAGTTTAAGTTTAGTTAAAATCGGGTAGTCCGTTCGCATGATACTATAAAATTAATTTTTAACACAAGTTTGACCATTCTGTGGGGGAGGTACCCGAATAAGGAGACTGATATTCCCCATCTTCGAACTTGAACTAAATTTGGTAGAAATATTACGATGTGCAAAATTTTAATGAAATCGGTTACTCCCTTCTAGAGTTATTGTGCGTACCAGCCGGACAGACAGACGGGCGGACATTTGTGAAACGACTCGAAATTGTCGGAAACGGATTTGGTCCGAAGAAACTTGGGCCAAAACCAATATTTCGATGAGACAACCTCATTACCCATAACGCCTGAAAAATATATAATTAAAAAAAACACGATCTGTAAAATATTTAGCAAATATCTTTGAAAATTCAGGCTAATAATAGTTGACAAACTATTATATAAAAATTTGATCTGTTCCAGAACTTTTTAATAGTAAATCTAGTAGAAGGGAAACACAACAATATCGCTCTCAGAGTACAAACTAATTTAAAAAGTTCGGGAACAGCCAATCAGAATTTGGCATTCCTGTTTACCATTTTTACTCGGACACATTTTTCGAGTAAAAAGTTTACAAAGTGAACGCCATTTTGTTTTGTGTTCTCTTTAATTTGATTCAATGTTTTACCAGTTTTGTGGGTTCAGGAACGGTTTTCGGATAAAAAGTTGCAAAACTTGTAAAATTAGTAGATTATTGTAGGTTGTGAAATAGAACTATAGTTTTTATAATTCCAAACTTTGCTTTATTTTGGAAAAATATAATTTCAAAATGTTTTGCTTTTTTAGACCATGAAAAATATATATAGGCCTCGGAATAAATAATATTTAAAAGTCCAAGTTTTGCTAGGCCTTGGAATAAAAAAGTTTTTATAACTCCAAATTTTGCTATATTTTGGAAAATATAATTTAAAAATTTCTCGCCTTTTTAGACCTTGAAAAGATATATAAATCTACGCTTATTTGGGTCCTCCAAAATTATAATTTATAATTGGACATTGTATAATTGTAAAACATCCTAATTTCATAATTGACTACATACTGTCAAGGAATATGGCCTTTCCAGTAGTTAAAAAATATCATTTAAAAAACCTACGCTTTTATAGGTTGTGAAGATATATAATTTAGAAATTTCTCGGTTTTTTTAGACTTTGAAAAAAAAAAACATAATTTTAAAAATAACAACAACAGCACAGATTAAAGTTGGACAACTGATCGAAGATAATCGAATAATCGATTTCACTCTTGTCTATGAAGGCGGTAGTGTTGTCAAGTTATCGTGTAGAAGAAAATCGCTGATATGGCAATTTTGTTGTTATTTATGTACATTTTCGTGGATGTGTTTAATAAAAATATATGTCATAGACTATTTATTCTTCTATAAAATATATTTAATTTGGAATATTTACATTAACAATCTATATATTTTCTAGACAATATGTTTTCACAATGAATATTAGCATTGTAATTTATCCCATGCCGCAGTGGCTGTGCTCTCTCTCTCGCCTGTTGGCTCCCCACAACACAACAACTCACTCATTTGACAATTGGCAAAGTTAGTTTAATAATCGGTTTTTATGCGTGCGGTCGTCCTTTGACAAAGAACAATAAACGGGTTATATTTTGCAATTCGCGTTCAATAGTAAAACAAGTGGAAGTGCACCATCAATATATATTTAATTGGAAATACAAATAAAATCAACAATATAACATTGCTAAAATAAAGTATTTTTGCAAAGTGTCTTTGGTTGCAAGTGTTTTCGTTATTGCGCCAATTTATGGTCAAGAGCTTGGTAAACAGAGAAAGCTCGAGAGAGCGTAATGTTATTCTCTTTCATGTCTCTCTGTTGCGGTGGATGCAATCTAATAGGAAAAGAGTGGTTAATAATCAGTGTTCCGTTGAATAACATAAAAAAATAAAATATAAAAAAGAAAATAAATATAAATAAAATAAAATATTGTAATCAGTGTTCATTTTAATTGATTAATAATTTAATTCAATAAATGAAATAAAAGGTGTATTAAAGTGAGAGTGTTTTGTGATCAAATAAAAATAAAATAAGAAAGTAAAGACATGTAATGATTGAATGGTTGAGTCTAACTTGAAAACATCTTAATTTCTTAATTAACCACATACTGTCAAGGAATATGGCTTAGGTAAGACAATTTTACATGTTAAGGGGTTTATAATAAAACGTATTATTTTTGTTATTTTTTTTAGATTTTTTTTAAATAAATGATCATATGTTTCATAATAAAGAGTTGTAAATGGTGTTCATAAATCAAGACGACTTTTTGATGGAGTTCCTACGACACGACCTTATTAATTATCTTCCGGCTTGGGTTCTTGTGTTATCACTGAACTATATAAGCCATAAAATCTAATTATTTAAGGAAATACGGAATAATAACATTTGTGGAATACTCAATTTCAAAGAATGCTATTGAATTGACCAACTGTTCTTGAACTTGTGGAGAATATTTCCACTAATTTCTAAATTATGTGTCGATTAGGGGCTTTACGATAACTTTTATTTAATTATTACCACAGATGGACATAATAAATGCAATTTTTATGATATTCACATTTTGTACATAATTGGATAGAGGAAGGTATGCATACATTTGTAACCGCTGTACTGTTATCTTAGTGTTTAACCGCTGTTGTATTATTTGTTTAACTACTCACCGCTAGATGGTATTAACGTCACGAATCAATTATATAGCACGCCTGTGTTGTTCCTTGAATAATATAATAAAAAAATTATCGCCATTTAAAAACTGAAATAAAACCAGTTAGGAAAGTAGTAAAGTCGGACGGGGTCGACTATATGATACCCTTCACCACTTTGGGCATATTCAAAAGATGAATCCTAACAGACGTCGCATTTTTGACGGACCAGTAAAATGAAATTGGATCCATAAACATGTCATTCTGCAACCTACACCAAATTTTTCATTTTATAAAGTTTTCAACTTTCATGTTATAAAGTTCCTTCCTACAATGGGAACAAATTATGTAAATAAATTTAAAGCAAATATCAATCGGACACCCGTTGATTATTTGGATACATATCTGATAAACCTCCTCATGTTTATGTTCAGTGCACCATTTACTTTAAATCGGGAGAAAATATATATGGTAGCTCTAT